CAGCACAAAAGTATGCAATGATAAGTTTTTATAAATAAGCAATGTGACAAACGGAAATAAAAATGCTTGCTGGTTTCCTCCTCTCCTTCGTCAACCGCTTTGGCAGCCGTACGTGCCACACCCTTTTCAAACTCCCATCTTTCTCAATTGATGTTGGCTGACAACGTCCGACAGCGACAGGTGTCAATACACAGCATAGATGGCATACATACATAGATGTTGCGCCTAAAATGCGACTTCTTCATAGCATTTCGAATATTACTATGGACATGTAGGTATTTATGTGAATCGCCTGTCCGCAAAACAACAACAAAAAAGAAAAAAAATTACCATAAAACATATTTCTTTTTGAAAAGATATTCGAGTTGAGTGCAAGGCATAATGAGAAATTCTTTTCTTGGCAAACGACAGCATCACTAGCTCCTTTAAGCCCACCGCTATTGCCACACGCTCACTCTCTCTCGCTCAGCCAGCAAACTGCCTCATTATAAATGTGTACAGACTCAATTTTCCTGCTAACTAGGCAAATGCGGGTGTACGGGTTGCGAGCGGTTGCCAAGGGTAACAGGACAACAACTACAACGAGGACGACGACAACGACAACGACAACGACAAGTACAACAGCCAACAGCAACAATGTCAAAAACTGACACAACTATGTTCTATGGGTACAAAAGCAAGGCGAAGACAAGAAAAAAAAGGTACTCGTAGCAGCAGAAAAATAGCAAAGAGCGTTTTCAAGTAAAGCATAATAATAATGACAACAAAGTAGCAGCAGGAGCAGCAACGGTAACAACGGCGGCAGCGGCAGCATCAACGACAGAGCAGTATTGCAAGTTGAATGTTGATGACGATAATAATAACTGCCAACATCCGGCCGAGTGGTGGCCGAAGCAACAGTGGTGGTGGTGGGGGCCGAGACTGTTGCAGCAAGGCAAATGTTAAGAAAATTAAAAATACAAAAACACGCACACTTTTCTATGACAGCAATTGACGTTCGGTAAGTGTGAAAAATGTCAAGCGAAAATATGTAGATGGTCGGTCGCCTTTGTGCTTAAGCAGTACGCCTTGAAGCGTATCGCTACGGCTTGGTAGTGGTCTACTGAAGCGAGATTGGAGTGAAGTGTGAGCTGTGGTGCTACACGTCTTTGCAGTTAAATAAATAAAGTTGCTGCGGAATGCTATCATTTGACTTGAAGCAGCAGTATGTACGTTTTCTAATGATGAAAATAAATAAAATGATAACGGTCCATAACCTAAAGTTTATTACTAAAATTTTAGAGTATCAAAATAGTTTTGCCTTTCTATACCTATACTTCTGCTTAGACCAGCTAAGCTAGTTCGTTTTTCTCCAACAGGTTGTCAGAGATAATTTCTGTGAAATCGAGACAGACATTTGTTTAAGCCGTAATGAGTTTTATGAAGCCATTAAGGCACACAGTTCAAAGGCTACAGCAGGCTTTCAAAGAAAGCTAGAATATCTGCGCATGTGTCCAGGAGGAAATGAAAATGTTTAGTGAAGGCAGACAATTTTCAAGATTCTTTGACGCCAGCCCCAAATGACAGCGTGACTTTAGTCGAATGACATCGTCTTATTACATCCAGTTGGTTGTTTTTTAGTTTGAAGTGGAACTTAAGGCTTTGAACTTGCTTTTCATTTTGGTTCTACAAAAATTTGTGCTTTTTGGTCGATACCATAATACTTCCTCTCATCGAAGTGATGCTAGTTATTCAGACCAAGTTCACACAAGTCTTTCTGCTTTTACTTCTTACGTTGTGTTCGTGGATGCCCTTCTTTTAATTGTCGACCCATGTGTGCCGAGTTGAAGGTTATTTTCAATGTAGCTTCATTTATACGTTTATTCGATTTATTTTCCATCGAAAAATGTTGCCTTCTCAGAGCCCTCTACGCACAAATAAGTACTAGGGAGAGGGCAATGAAAAAGCAAGATATTTTAGAAAAGGAAACGGTATCTACACCGATGGCTCAAAGATAAAAAAAGGAGTCGGCTCGGGTCTGTACTCCAAGGATCTTAGGATCTTCAAATAAGGCAATCACACGGCCTGCCTGATAACTGTAATGCCTTTCAAGCGGAGACGTTTAGTGGTAAAGTCGGAAGTAGTTCGGAAATTTCATGCAACGTTGGCTTTCCTGAGTCACGCAAACCCTCTCTCTGCTGGGCTCCGGAACACAGCAATATAGAAGGGAACGATGTAGCCGATGAGATGGCTAGACAGGGCCCGGAATTGCCACCGATTCCTTTTTTACTAAGGTGGATTGAATAATACACCACAGCTCTAAGTAATGAGCTTTGAATCAATCTGGACGACTGGAGTCGTACTGAAGAACTATTAACACTAAAAAAACAACTGCTGTAAGGGCTCTCACCATTACCGGTGCTATAGCACAGGGCACTGTGCTATAGCACCAATGCACCATCAATGGCGTTTACCAACAAGTTCCCTCTGCAGAAGTTGTCGGGATGAGGATGAAGAAGAGGCGATTCTTATGTGAATGCCCAGCTGTCCAGACAAGGCTTCTGAAGTATTTGAGATCACGCTTTTTCAATAGCTTGTAGAAGATAGCGTTGGTGAAAATATCGAACATCCACGGCTTCATCCGGGACAGACTTTATACTGACAATATGAACTAGCCTCGGTTAGAAGGATGTGCCTCCTCCTGGCACTCACAGAGGGAATTCATAATGAGCAAATCTGCTTTCGAGTGGAAGTACGAGGTATTCGTACGCGCCTTCCTAACCTAACCTGACCCAACCTTGGTCTCCGATAAAACAACCTTCTTTTGACTCCTTATTTAGGTTTAAAAATATTGCTTGGACAGTTTTGGTATCTTAGATGGTTGAGAGAGCTCCACACGATTTTGGACCGAGCTAAAAGTAACGCTCACCGCCACTATACATAGCCCTTTTACTTTTAATATTACTGGGACTCCAAATTTAGACATGGCGTGAAATCGACGAAAAAGTGGTTGGTGATGATTGGCTTCCAAACTTCCATACTATGAACAATTTTTCCAATGGTGTATTTTCCAGACCTAATAACATTCTGATAAGACCCAATCAGTGGGTTCAAGAAGGGATTAGAATTTTCGTACAGAATTGTCGATAATTTTCGAAAACTGCAAGATTTCGCTTCTTGTGACTGGGCAAATCTAAGTAAATTAGGCCGAATTGCATCTGTTTGCCGCCGAATTTAAATATGTAGCTCATGCGGCACACCGCTGAGTGTAGGGACTTTGTTGGTCTTGAGCCGCATAATCGTTTTGCTCACCTCGTGAGCGTCGTCCATAAAATTTGGTCAGGGTCAGGTTCTGCTTCTTCAAAGTAGTCACTGGTTGGCATTCAAATGCGTTGAGATGTTCTTCCTCCAGATTTCCTCCACCGTCTCTGTAGTAACCAGCCTCTCTTGAAAAACCAAGAAATGCTCAAATTAAGTTTAGCAGCATTCAATGTGAAGTAAAATTATCACAACGGAAAAATTTCCATCGATCCATACACTGGAAATTGAAATTTTTTATTTTTTTTGATAACAAATGGAAGGAGTATTCCTTAGTTGTTATTATAAAGGGAGGGGTATTTATGTCCAGATTTGTAGAATATGTTCCCTGAAAAGGAAAAACTTAGAATGCCCAAGGGCATTCCAAATTTTATGTGCCAGCAATCCATAAGAGCCACTTAAAATCTAGCCCAACCTAAGACAGAAATCAAATCTCTAAGATCGCTTATAGTGAATGAGAACAAGTCAGAGATTTCTTGACATTTCTCTTGGTTTCATTACCAGCGTACAGTGGCTTGGCTGATGAATTGGCAAGGCAGGGCACCCTTGAGGTCATCTCCCCTAACAAGGAAGATACAGGAAATCCTGCGGCAACCTCTGGACTGTTATTGAATATTTTGGCTTTTATTCGGCTGAGCTAGTGCTGTGCGAAAACCCCGATATCCGAAGTTGTAAAGTCCTTCTGGCCGGTAGTCAAGCACCAACTATTGTTTCTGGCAAAATTCCTGACCGGAAACTATGCAATTGGAACCAATCTGCTGGGACATTGCTGTATTGTTTAAACATGTCGGCTCGTATTTACTCAAGACACGCGAGCAATTCTGCGGAACTTTACTTTGACCTGCCGGCATTTTAACCTAACCTAGCCTAAGAATTTTAGTCTGGCGATTGCCGACGGCAATTAAGGCCTCAGAATCTGAAGGCGGGCTTTTGCGCAACAAAGAAACTGCATCACAGAAGAGTTCTTTAACACGGAACCCAAACGACATGTCGTATCTTTCCTGCAGAGAGTTTTTAATGATAAACCCAACATTCAAGGTCTTTCTATTTTTAGTACAACCTTGACATATAAAAGCTTTAGTAGCATAGCGTCACTAACCCTTAAACCCAATAGACAATTTGGTGTTTGTACGTAAATGTTCCTCAGTACTTCACAATGGGCACCAAAATTGAGCTCTCCTCACCGATTTGCATTTCTGACCCATGTCCAGTCATCCCATCCACCATTTTATGCTTTGTAACTCTGAAAGAGGATTGATATGACTTGGCGATATCATGGAGATACAACATTTTCTGACAATTTACGGTCTCACTGCCGTGGGCTGCTTTAGCATTTTTTGATACCACCTGCACATTTTCCAATTTTCAATTATTTTATTTAGCTGCGTTGCCAACTGGCGCCCAACAGCGACGGCAAGCGGAAGCAGAATATAAAAACAAGGGAAAGAAGGTGGGAGCCAGCCACACTGCCGCCACCCACCACCACAACAACCGCCACAACACAACACACACCCCAATTGAACCCAGCCTATCGGCTATGCGGGTGTCAGTCGCATGTAAAATGGCTATCCTTCAGCGCTACTCGCGTTGTGTTTTGTTGAATAAAATATGTTCAAAAATTGTTGTTGTAATTGATTTGTAATTTAAATGAAAACACATACCCGCAAACATTTAATGATTGTGAATTTTTAACTAAAACCTACCGTCGGTCGCTTAGCAAGAGCTTGACTACCGGAACATAGGCGCTACACACACACGCGGTGACGCGTCACAAAAATCTACACACACGGTCCCTGTGGTGGCAAACGCGGGCGCGACGGATCTCAATGACGATGGAGGTTACGGTTACGACGCTAGCGTGAGCTACGGCTACGTAGGTGGAGCGGGGAGAAAGACGTATATACGCACGCAAACGCAGAGCTAGTTCTGCGACGCAGGACGCGGCTTGGCTTTCAAAAAAAAAAAACAAAAAAGAAAACTTTGTTTGTGTTGTTATTTCGTTTGGTTGTATTTGTTTTTCGTTTTTCCGTTCCTTTTTTCTTCTATTTTTGCAGCTGCTTTATTTCGAAAACAAAGCTGCAGAATTTGGTTTTGTGTTTCACCTTGTGCCTACCAACAATTTGAACACAATTTTTTTTTTCAATTCGCACCAAATTTTCGCTACACAAAATTTTTCAAATTTTATTTTCTTTCAAACGCAAAATTCTCGTAAATATTTCTGGAATTTTTTTTACACATAATTTTATACACTGCGAATTACAACAGCTTTGTATTTCTGCTTCTCAAAATGTGAGACATTGAAAATACGCGCGCGCTATAGTTCGCGTTCCAAATTGACCCGACGACTGGAACTCCATGACTGACGTTTGACATCGAAAAAATTTCGCTCCTAACCAACCAGCTAAATCGAATCGGCCCAAGCACCACAACGCCGCCGCCTCGGTTGCTGCCAACGCTAACGCTCTCTGCGACGTCAATGACAGCTGTAGCTGCAGCATGTGCGGATGGCTGCGGCTATGGCTGCTAAAAAGCACAATCAAACGATTACAACAGTTCCGATGGCAGTGCCGCCATCGTTCTCATTTATGCCTGCATCCTTTCGTTTTTCACTCGCAGTCGTGCTTTCATGCAGCCGACTGTGCCAGCTGTGACGTAAAGTTCTTCGAAAAAGCTCTTTTGTAACTGATGCGAATACCATATACACATGCCGTCACATACACACGCGCACATCCATACATACATACATACATACATAAACGCTGCTGTCGTGCAAAAACAGACAGTTCACGCACTTCCAAAGTTCCATATTCTGGCGCCTTTCCAGCAGGTGTGAAAGTTCCAAAGTTCCAATTTCATAGACTGTGCAGACAACGTGTGCGCTCTGAGGGTTGCCAATGCGCCTGAATGGGGGATGGAAAAAGTACTGCACAAACTTTAGTACTGTTAGAGGTAGTTAATGGTGTGGGGATAATGTCTGGGTCGAGTCTGAGCCAGGGTAACGCGGGTCTCTCGTGTCAGCTGAAGCTCATTGTCTGCGTGTACGTAGAGATTGGGCTTCTATCACAGCATTCACGAGGCGTAACTCACAGAAAGTGGTAACGAACTCTCTATGAAAGGAAGATTTGCAATTTAAATTACTAAAATAGAAGTTTTGAATGTAAGAAATATGTACTAACTAGCTTATACCCGCGGGTTTCACCCCGCGCTTTTATACAAATAGGAAAAATAATTTAATGATGTTAGATTTTATTTCTGTGCTCATTTCGTTATAGCTCGTTATTTTCATAAGCGAGTTAAGGTATTTAGGCCGTTTAAAACTATGAAATTATAAAATCTCCTTTCTCCTCCCTCTAAGTTTACCTTAAAAGGTTTCCAGGTATACGACGCGTGAACGTGAAACCTTCTTGGAGGTGCCACGGCGAGTTCTAATATTTCCAACTCAAATTTAGTCACCTGGCCTTGATAAAATACCACTTCTCATTACTGTAGCAAATGCCTCAAGAGAGCTTTAGATTATAAGGTCGAACCCGGCTCTCCCTTTTCCATTTAATGAAATTTATACTGTCTTCCACAAACACTTCCAGGGATATGTGGCAAGAAAAAGTAAATTTGTACTGGAAGTGCCACGCCCCTTTTTCTTATAACCCTAATCTTCTTCCATGAATTTAGAATTGATTTTACATACCCCAGTACCAAGTCCCAGTACTCTACCATGATCACCTCTAGAGATAAGCAGTATAAAACAGTAAATTTGTACGGCAGGAACCATGTCCCCTTTTTGAATAACACAAATTCTTCTCTATGAGTATGGAATTAATTTTGTATACACATCTCGGTGCCAAGTTCCAGTCCTCTGCAATAAACACCTCCAGTGATATGCAGCATAGAAAAATCAATTTGCATGGGAGTTGCCACACCACCTTTTCCAATAACTCTCATTTTTCTCCATGAGTATGGTATTAGTTTCACATACATACATGCATACATATGTATTTCCATACCAAGCTTGAGTGCTTTACCCCAAACATTTGAAGAGATATGCAATATGAAACTTTCAGTCAGTATGGGAGGTGCTACGCCTCTTTTCCAAAAACGTCCATTTTTCTCCGTGTATATGAACATGATTTCACACAGTGTTGGCAAACTGTTAATCTGATTAACGATTAAAAATTAACGATTAAAATGTTAATCGCGTTTGACGATTAAAATTAATTAGTCGTAATCAACTGTACGATTAATGATAACATTTTTTTAATCGTTAATCGCTGGCTGCGATTACGTTTAATTAATTTAAAACATGAATCGTTAATCCAATTAAAAATAAGATCTGATTAATTTGTCTAGTTTGTCCGAGTTTGAAACCAAACACCAGTTATAGTAATTATTTTGTGTTTTACGCTTATAAAAAGCACGTAATATAAAAAAATAATAATTATTGTTATTAGTAATACATAAACTGGGAACTTTTACAAACCTAGTTTGTAAAACGTTTGTTGGTATACATATATCTTAATGAAAATGCACACCAAATTGCTTAGATTGATGAGGAAACCCGACTTAGCCATACTGGATTAACTTGCTTTGTGTGCACAGGAAAATTCCAGCATAACTTAATTAATCACCAAACCTACTTGATCAAATTAAGAGTTAATGATTAAAAATTAATTTTTTAATCGCGATTACGGTTAACTGTTTAGTCGGATTAAAATTAATCATGATTAACTGTAATCAGATTGAATTTAATCGAATTAACTAACTAATTAAAACATCAATCGATTAATGCCATCATTGATTTCACATACATATCACTATACAAAGTTTCAGTTTTCTCCCACAAATACTTCCAGAGATATGTATGTAATATGAAAATTCCAATTTGTATGGGAGGGGCCTTGAGTTATCGGACTCACTTTCAGTCTAAGACCATCCTTCCGAAATCCGTAGTAAGTATACTAAATTCCGTTCTGATCGGAAAACCGGTTAAGGAAGTAGCCTATTTTTCAATCCAGGTCATAAACCATCTTTGAGCTAAATTTAATTTTCAAACAGGTGGCAATTCTTAAAAAAATAGCCTATTTTCCAGTCTAGGTCATAAGCTATCTGTGTGCATACTTGCATGCAAATCAGTTCAGTAATTTCCACGTATTAATTTAATTAAAGTTTCCTAATACGTGATAACTCTTAAAAAAGTAGTAGCCTATTTTCCAACATAGGTCATAAGCTATCTCTGTGCGAAATGTCATGCAAATCTGTTCAGTCGTTTCCGCGTATTAATTTAATTAAAACTTTTTTAACAGGTGGCAACTCTTTCGAAAAATTTGCCTATTTTCCACTGTAGGTCATAAGCTATCTGCTTGCAAAATTTTATTCAAATCCGTTCAGTCTTTTCCGCGTATTAATTTAATTAAACTTTTTTAGCAGGTGGTAACTCTTAAAAAAGTAGCCTATTTTTCAACCTAGCTCATAAGCTATCTGTGTGAAAACTTCCATGCAAATCAGTTCACTCATTTCCGCGTATTAATTAAATTAAACATTTCTAACAGGTGGCAACTCTTAAAAAAAGTAGCCTACTTTCTAACCTAGGTCATAAGCTATCTATGTGCGAAATGTCATGCAAATCCGTTTAGTCGTTTCCGCGTATTAATTTAATTAAACTTTTTTAACAGGTGGCAACTCTTCCAAAAAATTAGCGTATTTTCCACTGCAGGTCATAAGCTATCTGCTTGCAAAATTTCATGCAAATCCATTCAGTCATTTCCGCGTATTAATTTAATGCAACATTTTTAACAGGTGGCAACTCTTAAGAAAAGTAGCCTATTTTCCAATCTGGGTCATAAGCTATCTGTGTGCAAATTTTCATGCACATCCATTCAGTCGTTCCCGCATATTAAATAAATGAAACTTTTTTAACAGGTGGCAACTCTTAAAAAAAATAGCCTATTAACCAATCTGGCCCATAAGCTATCTGCGTGCAAAATTTCATGCAAAGCCGTGCAGTCGTTTCCGCGTGATGATTTCCCAAACATCGAAACATACAAACTTTCACATTTATAATATTTATTAGATATAAATTTTGGTTGGATGTATGTTACCACACAACTGTGGACCACCTCAACAGATTTC